AGGAAGCTGGAAAAGAAAGACCACCAAAACCCTAACTTCAGCAGAAGAATCCAGATCACCAAAATAAAAGCCCAAATCAGGGACATGGATGACAAAAAGCTAATACAAAAAAAATCAACGAAACAAAAAGCTGGTTCTTTGGAAGGATAAACAAGATCAATGGTCCCCTAGCTAGACTGACCAAGAAAAAGAGAGAAAAAGCCCAAATAAACACAATAAGAAACACAAAAGATGAAGTCACATCTGACCCTGAAGAAATACAAAAGATCATTAGAGACTACTATGTACACTTGTATGGCAACAAACTTGAAAACCTTAAGGAGATGGAGGATTTTCTGATATCACACAACCTGCCTAGGTTGAAACAAGAAGAAATTGAGATCCTAAATAGACCAATAACAATCAAGGAAATTGATTATGTCCTAAAAAACTACCTACAAAAAAAAGCCCTGGACCAGATGGCTTTCCAGCAGAATTCTATAAGACATTTACGGAGGAACTGATACCAATCCTACTGAAAGTATTCCAGGCAATTGAGAAGGATGCAACTCTCTCCAAATCATTTTATGAAGCTAATATCACATTGATACCCAAGCCAGGTAAAGACAAGAACAAAGAAAGAGAACTATAGCCCAATATCTTTGATGAACATAGATGCTAAAATCCTCAACAAGATCCTAGCAAACCGGATTCAACAACACATCTCAAAAATCATCTATCATGACCACGTAGGCTTAATCCTCAGAATGCAAGGCTGGTCCAACATTTGTAAGACCATAAATGTAATTAAATACATCAACAGATGTCAAAACAAAAACCACATGATTATATCATTAGATATAGAAAAAGTTTTTGGTAAAACCCAGCACCCTTTCTTGATAAAAACCCTTGAACAACTAGGCATACATGGAACATATCTCAAAATAGTAAAAGCCCAAGAAACCCACAAGAAACCCACAGCCAGCATACTCCTAAACAGACAAAAATTGGAACCATTTCCCCTGAGATCTGGAACAAGACAAGGATGCCCACTCTCATCCCTCCTGTTCAATGTAGTATTGGAAGTCCTGGCTAGAGCAATCAGAAAAGAGAAGGTGATCAGGGTTATCCAAATAGGAAAAGAGGAAGTCAAATTATCTCTCTTTGCAGATGACATGATTTTATACCTTGAAAATCCAAAAGAATATGTCAAAAAACCTCCTTGCACTGATAAAGGACTTTGGCAAAGTCTCAGGGTATAAAATAAATGTGTAAAGGACAATTGCATTTCTTTACACCAATAATAAACAGAAACCCAAATAAAAACCACAATTCCATTCACAACAGCCACAAAAAAAAA